CCCTGTCTTGCTTACACATTCTCACTTATCTTGTATGCATTATGAGTTTGGCAGCGATCAGTGAAGTTCGCTTCACTGTATTACACTATACAATGATGATGATGATGAATTAAAATTTACCCTTTTCGTTTTATTATCTGAAGTAAAACAGTTGTTTAAATATATTACTATCTAGTCAGTTATCTCCATCCAGATCTCGAATCAAGTCAAAAATAGTCACTTGAAAAATTTCCGGTCGTGTTCCGAGGTTGGTTGTAATAATACTGTATATCCCTGTGACAGCATGTAGCCTATAACTTGCCGAGACTGGTGCTAAATACAATCAAGACTGTCAGTCCACATCCAGCGCTTATCGTCTTTGAAGCGATTTGCAGGAATCAGCATCCGACGATTCCAGATTCCAGGGGCTTATTCATATAGACCACACAAACTACTTTTGTTACCCACATTTGTTCTTAAAATGATTGCGTTTTACGTTATTTAGTCAAATTTTATAATGATTACTACTTTTACCTATCCCCTTTGAACAGTTGATGCCTTTCATGTACAATGGGGGTATACTAGACTTGATTTACGTCTACGTGTCACCGGAAGCTGCGGCTCGTGATATCCGCCTCACATTCGAAGCGCTACGGCTTTTAGGGAGTTTAATGTGTCATCGTTGTGTCTATTTGGAGTTTGTTGAAAAGGACGGTTTGCGAGCCGTGCTCAAAGTTCCGAGACCCTCGGTTGCCGCAACTGCAGTCAGCGTGGTTCTGTATTACACAGCTTATTTTGAAGATGCTATGGAACGGGTAAGTATATCATTGTTAGTTGTTCCATTTTCTCGTCTCTTTCAAGTTTGCGATAGGAAGAACTCTAGTTTGTAGAGGATCTGAATTATACTTTGAACAGTCAGTGCCTCCCCATGAGTTCATTATTCTTCTGATCACCTCTAAACTAAATGGTGATCTTATCATGTTGGTTATACTGTTTGGGGCCACGATTTGATCCCGATTCGTTCTCCACGTTGCCTCGTCCTGTTTACTGGACAGTGAGCTTAATCTCAGCACAATGACCGAATGTTCTGGATTACCAAGCAGCATTCGTATCCCATTCGTTTTGATAATCAGCACCCATAGTGTTATTTCGTTGAATGCTGCTTTCGGAATTTCATTTGGTTTACCACTTAAAACCTGGGTTCTTTGGTTCTCATGCTGTTTTCTGCCGGTTATTCCTACAGCATGTTTTAACGTTCCAGTCGTATATTATCTTTTATCAGTCTCACTGGTAGCATGTCTGATCAACATCATCAACATTTTGCTGCATTCAAGACATTTGTTTGTGTAATACCGATGCGGAGGGTAAAATCTATAGTCTGGGGACAAAGCTCTACAAATAGATGTACCGAGTGTGCTGGACTTTAAAATCACTGTGATGATGCGATCACATGCACCGCCCAGTTGTTACGGTAAACAGCTATAACATTTCTCGTTCTCTCCGTTTAAAATCACCATTTACAGGTTTGTCAAATGCCGGTATCAATCCTTACGGATTTGATCAAATACGCGTTGTGGTTGGTGGAATGCTCACACCCGTCCGCTCGGTGCTATTCTCTCTTTTTCCTCAATCTGGTTTTGTGCTATGGGGTCACTTTCGAACTGTTCCAAGCACAAAACGGTCTCGTATACCTGTATAATGCGGTAAGTGTGTGCGTCACGTTTTATTCCACCCAGCTTCCTATCTTTAGATGTTTGAATATATATATATATATATATATATATATATATATATATATTGAAGGAGTAGGCAAGCGCTGAGTAATAGTATTTAATGCAACGTTTCGATCCAGACCAGAACTCGTTAAACGATAGTGTGTGAATTAATTGGATTTGCTTGTACCTGGCGCTGTGATTTGTGTTGCACTTGTTTGTCCCTTGACCCGGCGTTCCTCATTGGTTATACAATCGTTGCGTAATGTTTATCGATTTCGACGTATCGATTGAATTAGTCGATCGAATGAAGCGTTTCAAGGATCAGGCGTTCCCACATCCTGGTTACCCTTGCCACTATTTTTGTGTCCTTGATTCTGACCCCGTGACCTGTCGTTGCGCCTTCATTTTAAAGGTGTGACTTCGAGCCATCGCATCGTAATGCAAGTGTGCGTTCATTTAGGCGAGTGCACAGTTGTTTGCCTGTCTCTCTTACATAACGTTGGTTACAGGCTGGGTACAGGGTTGTGTACACCACCCGTGATTAGTTGTGATTCTGCGTGGTCCTTGCTGCTGTGTCGTAAGTTTGTGGTCAATAGTAATACCCAGAGGGCGACGATCGACGGTTTCTGATACCCCATGTATGTATGATAGTAGGAGTCTCGTTTTCTTCTCTTCATCTTTTAGTTTTCTTTTGCCCCTCCCCCCCCCCCNATCCGTTTGTATGGAACTGATGGAACAAATGCATTCGTTGTTGATGTTGAAGTTCTGTGCTCCAATTTGTGTCTGCAGAGCAGGACAAAGTGCGTACCCAGCTTCTTAAGTGACGCGTTGAACGAGTGCTATCGTGGTTCACCACCTGATCGATTGTTGTCGGTTTCCTATACACAGTGGTTTCTGTTTCCATCTGGTTGTCGTATGATGAGGCCGTCGAAGAAAGGGAGTCTCATGGTTTTCCTCCTTATAGATGAATGCTATCCCCGGCATAATCTTGTTTAGATCATGGAATTGTTCGTTTTTTGCTGTTGTATTTCGCTGTACGATGATAATGACGATGATTCTTGCTGATACTAGCATCTGCATATCGGATCCAGGGACGAGAGCGGTATTTTTCAAATGTTTGGCGATGTTTCAATATGGTTCTTCAGTTAGGTGGTTTTAAACTTTCAAGATGGGGAGTTTTCCCGAAAGCAATGCATTTTACCTCGTAGTTACTTGTGGGACAAATATTACTTAGATTTCGCTTGAGGACCGTTCACAATCAAAGCAAAGGAGTACCAATTAGCATCCTAACTCCCTTCTTGGTCCTATATAGCCTACTTTTCATCGAACTTGATATCATGTCTGTGCATCCCATTGTGACGTTTGTGTCGTACCACTTTAAGTCCCGGGGTCTTAGATTTCCGAGATCTCTAATAATTAGTTTCTCCTGACTTGTCTGTTCTACTATTCATAGTAGTGTTTAGTAAAAACACTGGTAAAGCTGGTTTCTCATTTTTTCACTTAATCCAGTTCTCGTAGTTCATTGACACTGAGATGACACCTGAGGTGCGAGGAATGGTGTTGGTTTACAAAGAGGCTATTTGTCTGACAATCTGATGCATCGGTTGTCTCCGTTTACTGTCTGTATTGCTCTAAGAACTTACAACTTTCAAATCGTTTGTTTAAGATCTTTGTCACACGTTCTGTCTTCTGTGTGATTCAAACTACAATATACCAAACTAGATGATGCGAGGAATTATAGTTCCGAATATGTAATACATCCTCTCAGTCTGGATTGGGCCAGTCATTTGATTGTGTAGTAAATCGCTCAACATTAAGACAACATACGTCGAACGGTGTTTAATGGTTGCAAGAACTGAACTGAACTTTAACTAGCTAAGAAAGCCGGACTTCGGGGACAAAGTCCGAGTTTAAGGAATTACTATGATTCAGATTTTCCAATGGAGGTCGTCATTGTATTTTTTCTTTTACAGAAAAGCAAGATTGCAGTAAATGCATGTTTCCCCAATATTGTCGCGCTGTATGTGAGTAGCATGAAATCTCACTTCCGAGGACTCGTAACTCAGTGATCTAGCAAATATTGACATCAGTCATTTTATATGACAAAATGCCGAACGCGAGCAACTGCTGAGTGCATGCACCGTGGTTGATATATCTTGGACACTGTCGTAATGTGTAAACGCAAGTTGAATATAGATCTGCTTAAGGTTTTTGAAGGTGTAACTCCTAATTATTCCGCCATATTCCCGTTCTACTTCAGATTTGTGTGCTCCCTCTACGCCTAACCGAGGACAATCCACCCACTCTGAAGGACACGACATCCTGGCACGTTGTTCGCGCGAGTCTTTGTGCGATTCGCCGTTTTCTCGAAATCAGTTTGCTATTATGGATAGATGAAATCGACCCTAGCCTATCCAGCTTGTTTGACGAATCACCACGGGCTGTGGCTGCCGCTGGGTACCGAGTAAGTCAAGGACCACGTTCACTAAGTGTTACACCTTTAACCCAACCCAGTTTAATTTATGAACTAAACATGCATTTTGACCATACTTGGTAGATCCTGTGTTTTCATAAATGACAGAAAGACTCACCTTCGTCTGTTGTCATTCTCCTGTATCATTGATCCGTTCGTAGCGAATGTATATATTCTAACCACCTCAGACTGTATTTCCAAGATGAATAATGATTATCCGTCAGTTCATTACATGTGTATATTTGCAATCAGTAGAGTGAGAATAAATAGAATCTGGCTACTGATTTTTTGCTGAACGGGGCTTGTGGTACACGTGTTGGTGGTTAAACTCACCTGTCTATTTCTCTTATTCGTTTTTGGTGCAATTTTCCCTTTGCCTAGCCTATTACATTTTCCAGCGAACAGTTTTCACGCCTGATGGCCTTGATAATTGCTCGTATTCGTCCCGAAACGGCTTGGCAACCCACTCAACAATTGAAAGATTGCGGTGCAATCAACGTGCTTTATCGGATCATTGCCCGAAACGTATACGCGCATAACAGCTGGCCTTGTCGAAATGAATGCACCCGATTGGCCGTGGATATTCTCAATCTCATGTGTATCACCTATGACCTCGCAGATGAGATTGCCAGTGCTAATGTGTTCTGTTTCCCGGCTGGAATCAGCACAACCGCGTTTTTAAGCACATCACCACTGTTTTCCTCCTTGAATGCGATCGGTGACAGTCCGCGGTCCGCGGCTGGATCGGCTGATGTCACCGTGCATCTGCCATCACCCAGTGGTCCAAGTCTTGGTCGAGCCGAAAGGGGTGGCTTGATCAATCAACTTTTAGAAATAGTCGAACAGGTTGGAGGAGGTGGGACAAATGGTACATGGGATTTCGGCTCACGGCGTACGGTGAATGCTAATCGTCGTGCTCGATCGAGAGCCCTTCGAGATGGGTCCGGTGGAGTAGGAGATGATCATGAGGTTCCCGCTGATGGAAGACCAACTGCACCCGGTGAGCGTTTACCACCATCGATTGGTGCAGGTGAGTCGGAAACAGCACCAGCTGATGGAGAAGATGATCCAATGATCGATACGGCAGAAGCCGATGAACGTGTCAATGGTTTGCAGTAAGTTGTAGGCACATATACAAAGAATTGAGAAACCCTGAGTCAATGTTTTTTTAATCAGACTGATCTCTTTTGGTTGATAATAGGAAGCTGGTGTTAGTTGATTTACGCTTCAGGAGTGATATTATTTTCATCAAATTAGTAGGTTAAAAAATAGAGATAAATGATAAATGATTTCCCCATCAATTTACCAGCTAATTACTTATAATGAAGACTTCATTTGAAAATTGAGATACATCCGCAGCTGCTGGACGGCATTTACGCACATACTTTCATTGAGGTATCACTAATATAAAATCCCTCAAAACAGGAGGAGTTGTGCATCTACTCACTGTATACACACATCTAATCTGTTAACACTAACCTCATCCTGGTATTTCCCTCAGATTTTTATTTTTAGGTACAAGAGTAGGTAAAAGATTGCAACGAAAACCAGTTCACTGAAGTGCCAGGGTGATGGTTGTGAAAACCAGAACAATTCAAAGTAAAACTTTCACACAACTAAGCCATTTTTACTATTCACAACTCCTTGGAAATTTCACCCTTCTTCGAAAATAAGACTATTGCACTGATCGACCAACCTCGATTATCACGGTACTTTAGAACAAAAATCCGATGGTGAATAATTGTTTTCGAACTATTCATTACTCTTCCCGCACAGAGCCTGTAATGGTTTGTTGTTAGTTGGGTCACATTTTTACGCGTTCAGTGTGCGCCCTCCCCCCCCCCCAAAAAAAAAAAACCCCTTCTAGGGCAGTGAGACGATAGGTATTGGCCTTTTCATACTAAAACTATACGTACAAAAGCGACGGGTCCGAACTCCCCACTGACCCCGCCCCCAAACTGATCATCAACACTCCAATCACATTTTCATATAGTCAGTGAGATAACTACCGTGAAATGAAGACATGATTGCTAATTACAACGCACAATGTATTTATGGTCATTTGGCTGCATCCGTACACGTGCATACTGCAATCAAAGTACAGATGCAGCGAAATGACCATGAATACATTGTGCGTTGTGATTATGTCTTCATTCCACGGTAGTTATCTCACTGACTCCAATCACAATCAATTTCACCCAGACAAACGCCTCTCTCCTCATCCCCATCCCGAGTGACCTTTTGACCTTTCGAAAATGTGTCCCAACTAACAACAAATGTTGATATGATCTGTACAGGCAAGGTAATGAATCATTGGAAAGCAATTGTTCGCCTTCGAACTTATGTTCTAATATTACAATGGGTTTATTCTGGAATTCAAAACATATTACGTTAATCCCAATGTAGAACGATATTTCTCGTCTTCCGTCAACTCACTTGTCTAGCGTAAAATGCGTTTTCTTTGTTTGAATCAGGAATCTCTACACTTTGTCACATCTTGTTTTTATCTTCTTGCCGGGTATTCTCCAATGTGAAATCACTATTACGAAAGGGCAATAAATAATTTAGTGTATTTGTCATCCAGTTCTCAATTCAATTTCGGCGAAAAGTGCAAGTGTTTCCTCTGATTTTGTTGCATTCTACAACTGTCTACCTCCATAATTTCTTGAATTTAGAAATTCGACTGTTATCACGGCGTAGGTTTGTTCAAAGGTTATTTCGCAATGATAGCCTAAAAAGCGACCGTGTAACAAACAGGTTTCCAATTTGTACGCTAAACGGAAGGTTTTAATTTTTTTCTTACAAGTAGTGATTAAAGATAACTCTTTTTTTCTGTCATCTAACCATCCTTGGCTTAGTGTGCTTTTATTCTCCAATCTATGCTACTACTTTTCCGCGATCCATTTGATCCATTAACTTGGAAAAAAGAGCGAACCACATTCTGATATAGCGAATTTAGCACTACCAACTGCGTCAATCAAATAAACGTCAGATTATCTTAATATGCATTGCAACGAAATTCATTTTACAGTGAACTTGGGGGAAAAATCTAAATGCCCGTTATTCTATTCTGTGTTTAGCATGCTGTTCAGCATCTCCCGTGAAGATGATGGCTGGGATGTGGCTGTGCACAAGTCGGTACTGGCGTTTATCTGCACGCTAGTCTATCGTCCAATAACAGAGCATGAGCATCCGGATAACCCGATCCCCGCCACCAGTGTACTATCTCAAATCCCGGGATCAATTGGTTCTAGTAGTTCGGCCATGGCACCACCGTCATCACCCACCTTGCAGGGATCGGGATCGCCAGGCGGATTGACCTCACCCGCATCAATGCGCCTCAGCACACCGCCTTTCAAGGTACGTTCGTTTACTGTCCATAGGTTATTAGGCGCACCCAAGTAATTTAGCTATTTTGGGGACCCAGTTGCATGTACTTCCACCTTAGTGTTTAGGGTTTCGGAGGTTACCACAGTTTGATGTGTCTTGCAGCCGCATTTCGTTCGATGTGCTCTGATGAAGTAAGTTTGTGGTAGTTTTTAAAATGAATTCCTGCAATCATTGAACATGTTTTCAGCACCATTTGGGTGTTCTTTTTCGTGTTGCGTGGTTCCAATATCTCACAACGATGAATCTGTAAGATGGTGGATGAAGTCTGGAAAATACCTTTCGATCATGTTCTGTGCTAAGTTAATGGTCTCGGGTGCGACTGACGCATCTTAACATTCTTATGCCCCTGCATAACCTTGTCATTTTCATACTGTGTCGGTGGAACTTTGTTCTCATCTGAACTACACAGGCTCCGCATCGAAGCTCCGTATTGAGTTCTGGTCGGACCAATCGGAAACGCCGGTACGATGAAATGGTCACTCAGCCACTGTTTGTTCATTCGCTTCCACTTGACGGACCCATCTCCCAACCAATCACTCCTCCTCCGCAAGCTTCACCTCCCGTCTCGAGGCGTCCGGGATCGCCGACAATTTCGAATAACTATTCAGAGAATGGGATTCCGGCAGCTTTCGGTCGTCAACCTCACACGCGCCTCTTGTATCGTCAGGCTTGTTTGTGGAGTATCGTGCGGCGGCAGCATGGTATTATGGCCTTACTATATCACCTGGAGACCAAACAGCCTATTTCCGAGGCCGATAGCATCCGAACTTTGGCATGTCGTGGCTTGGTCGGGTTGGCAAGATCAGAAGAGGTTCGGAGTATGCTAGCCAAAATGCCCCTGTTTACCAAGGCTCTGCTACAACGTAAGTTCTTTACCTCGGAAAGTCAGTTCAGATGCTAACAAGTTCATCCAGAGAAAAGATAAGCGCAATTTTGTACCTTAATTCCAATGGTTTAAACATCCAAGGTGTTCATTATGCTAGGGAATATAAGATAGTATGCCTTTTTCAATTTATTATAGTGTATACCTTCTGAGCTACCGTGATCTGTTGAAATAAAATAGAAAACCATTGGCAGCTGGCTGAGAGATGATTACATGGGGCTTTTGAGATGACGATGTTCTGACTTTATTTTGAAACTGGATGTGCGGGTACTTGCTGAAGTTGATTGCTTCTCCCACTTAGGTAG